GGTGGTGGTGGTGGTGGTGGTAGAACTATCAGTATTGTAAGCAGTAATAGTAGTGACAGTAATAGTGGTGATGGTAGAACTACTAGTCGTACAAGCAGCAATTGTAGTGGCAGTAGTAGTAGTAGTAGTAGTAGTAGTGGTAGTAGTAGTAGTGGTGGTAGTAGTAGTAGTAGTAGTAGTAGTAGTAGTAGTAGTAGTAGTAGTAGTAGTAGTAGCATTACTAGCAGTAGAAGTAGTGGCGGAAAAATTGGCAGAAGTAATGGTAGTGGGATTAGTTTTGGTTTCGGGAGAAAAAAAAACAGTACAAACCCTAAGGGAAGCCGTTACAACCAAGCATCCACTGGGATCCACATCAGCATCTGTGATCTCAAAAGGTCGATGAGCCGCTAAATTAAGGCTCCACTCCGTTCCACCCATGAAGGTCTTGGGCGAGCACAGTTGTCTGCCGTAGACACAGTCATCACGCCCAGTCGAGTGCCAGGCCAGACGGTGTTTCAGAGTGGAACTCTCACTGCCCTCGGTGGCAGCAGCGGCGGGGGCGGGAGCAGGAGGTTTCAGGGGGGCAAGATGGGCCAGACGCTCGAACCAGACGATGGACGAGGCCAAGACACGGCTGGAGTATGCGTCGAAGGTGTCCTCAGGACCCAGGGCACACGGCGAGGCGTCGCAGGACAGTTGGCGCATCCGTTGCCAGAACTTGCAGGGATGCACCAACTGAGGAGGTGCCTCATCTGGGCTATAGGTACTTAAGGACACCAACCAGGCCTGCAGGGAAGAATAGGATAGAGTGACGGTGAGAATAGTACATTCGGTGGGGTTCGGAGTCAGGACTACAAGTGCAAGACTTGAGTACAGCTGACGCTCGAACCTCCTGAGCTACGGGCCCCAACGGGGAGTCGTGAGTTTAATCCTACAGTGCCACACACACAGCATGGCTCCCACTTCGCCTTTACACGGCTGCAGTATGGGGTCTCAGAACTCCAAGGCTCCAGGGTTTGTGAGCGTCTGCTATGCTACTCTTCAGCCAACCCTGACCCTCACGACCCTGTGCGCAGGTACAGGCGGTTCTCTGGCGGTACATGCGCTTGCGCTCCCGCCAGGTATTCAGGTCGTGTGCATGGCTGCCCAATCATCGGCGTCCTGTTTGATGTTGCTAGTTTGAATCCTGGTCAAGTGTATGTTGTGGACCAGTGGGAATGGAGTCGAGCGCCTAGCTGTGGGTTCAGCCGCGTCGTCCACCAGCGCCCTCCCCGCCTGCGATCTTCTTGATTTTGTCTTGGCGCCGAGCCCAGGTGGGGGAGGAGGGGTGTGGTAGATGCTGCGCAAGTCTACTCTCACTATAAACTACGTACGGTTTGGCAAAATGGATGTTCGGTCGTCTTAAGTTTTTGGCCGAAGGCTCACCAACAACAGTTGCATCTGCGTATCAATTCCTCGAACGCA